TCTCTCCATATTTGGATCATTATTATTATCGTTGATAATGTAAATGATCTCATGCTTAGAGAAGAATATCTTCTCATAAAAAATATGAAACACAAAAAATTGCTAATTAATTATAATTTTTTATTTATTTATTTATATCTTGCTTAAATTATTATTTTCTAATATAAATTTTTTTATAATGTAATATACAAATACAAATATATATATTGTGATTATATTATAATAAAAACAATTATCAAGTTTCATATTATTATTATATTATACATCCATTTTTCCAAATCATTTTTTTTAAACCGTTCTTTTTTTGATTATAAATTATATACACATTTAGTGAGTTAGCAGAATAGTTGGGTGATTATGAATTTTATCATTAAATACTAACTAGTTGATTGATTAATATTTATTTGTTTGAGGAGATTTCGAGATACGTGGCATTTTGTTAGCACGTGAGGCTAATGAGAACTTATTCATACTTTGTAGAACAGATGATGACGATGATGATAATGTTTTTGTCCCATGATATGAATGGGATGATGTGGTTGGAGCTGAAAATGTTGTTAGTGCGGCAAATCAAACAACATAAGTATCAAGACCCGTTGGTTTTTTGCTTTTATAATTATAATAATTATTATTGGGAGGTTTTTTTTATATAGTATGGAAAGGGGGTTGTGAAAAAAAAAAAGAATAAAATATTATATTTTTATATATGTTTTCACCTGTGTAAAAAAATATATTATTATTTTTTTTTTAATAAAAAATAATTTTATAAAAATGAAAATGTAAAATAAAGAATATCGAAAATTATGAATGCTCCTCCTAACCTCAACAGTCCTCAAAATATCTCGAAATGCTGATCTTTGAACTTTACGTTGAGATTTAGCTCTATGTCTATTACTATCTTTTGCCAAGGCGCTTAACAATTCGATTAAATGTTCCTTATCATCGTATTCAACTTCGTCGATTTCTTCATACTATGTAAAAATAAATAAAATTGTTAATAAATGAATTAATGAATTAATGGATTAACAATATTTATACTAATAATTTATTATCTAACCCTTTCAGGATGTTGTAATTGTTCCCATTCTTCCGATGCATCTCTTTTACGTCCAATGCCTAAAATTTCAAACATCAACGCAATATTTTCACCACTGGCAACACGAACTTCCATAGTATCAGATTTTAAATGCTTAAGGTGAATAGGCATAACACGATCAAACTCTTTTTTAGCTCTATCTGTTCCCTTTTGACTTCCCCACAAACCAGCATAAAGCAGTCCATAAGAATTCAAAGCATCTGCTATAACTATTCCATTATTAATGGCATTAACGCTTTTCCCATCTGTATGAAATATATTT